TGCTTTGGAGGAGCAGCTAAGCCAGAAGAAAGAAGAGCTCGAGCGGATCAGGGCAGTGCTGGAGCAGCAGGATCATGTGATCAAGGAGAAGGAGAGAAGCATTAAGTTACTGGCCAGCTCCAGAGCTCAGCTGGAGGAGCAGCTCTGCCGGGACACCACCACAGAGGCCAGGCCGCCGTCCAGGCGGAGCAGCGGGGCTTTGCACGATGCTGCGGTGAACACCGACCTCTCGCAGGTAACCGGCGCCAAGCAAGCCCATGACAAAGGCATCAATGTAAATATCCCAGTCTCCACCAAATCCATAGGCTGTAGTGTTCACGGAGCGGATGACGTGGACAGGCAGGGAAGAGAACTCAGAGGTCGGATCGGGGACTGGCAGGCACTTGCACCGGACCCGGAGACTTCGGTGAAGCCAACACTGAGGCCGGCCTTCATGCACCGTGCTTCACCCAACTGAAGATTGATGAGCACCTCAGCGATGACAATCAAAATCACAGGCATAACTACGACACCCAGAGCCTCGCTGCTCAGGCGGTGGCTGCAGAAAGCTCTCGCGGAACAAGAATTGGCTCAAACGCAGGAGAAAACAAGGCTGGCTTTGGCGAAGATAAACCTCAAGATGGGCGAGAAGAGGAAGGGCCCCCTGACCACGAGGATCTCCCTGCTGTTGACCCCATCAGCCAATACGTAAAAAAAATCCAGGAGCTTTTGCAGGAGCAGTGGCTGTGTCTGGAGCACGGCTACCCCGAGTTAGCGAGCGCGATTAAACAGCCGGCCTCCAAGCTCAGCTCCATTCAGAACCAGTTAGTTAATTCCTTAAACTCACTGCTGTCTGCCTACTCTACGCAAGGGCCCGCGGACAAGGAGAACTCCAACACACACTATCAACAGTTGGGTAAATAATATCGGCCTAGGTTTCAATGTGCCCGGGCCAACGCTCCTCCCATTTATTCCAGCGCTGAGCAGGGGTGATGCAGCGGAGCTCTGTGGTATAATTAGTATCAGTCAGATCAGAAATAGCCCCTTCTAAACACGTATGAGAAAGGCAAATCTCTGCACATAGTAAGCTGTGTGATTTGAAAAAAAACCCAAACAAAACCCTGGGGGAGCTGATAAATCTGTGGCCCAGTTTTGCACAGGATCAGCTTCCAAAAGTGGCCGTACTTGGGGCTATCCCACCAAATAACCATTTTTCTTAATTGGGTGGGATATCTCAGTTTGCAAGAATATGGGACTCATGCTCATCTGGGGTAAATCAGCATGAAGTTCACCAGAACCAATTCAGGCTAACTGGGCTGGGAAGGGACCTGTCCCCACTCGGCCGTTCAGCTAAAATAACTGTAGGTTATTTGCAGATTAGAATCCAGAAACCGAAGGCTGCCTGCCCACGGCTGGAGGGGGCCTTGCAAATAGATAAGTGACCTATTACTTACAAGCAATACGCAGTGAGACTGTTAGACTCCGATGGACTCACCCATATATTATAGAGGATTTATAGAGGAGATTTCCAATACATTAGTACTGGAAAAAAATGAAAAAGAAAACATGATTGCAAGTGTAAAGCCCACTTATATATATGGGACACGTATATAATTCCCAGTCGCTTCCTTTATGTTCCCAGTCCCTTGGAGATGTTTGAGACCCGTATTTTAAAGGCAGCAGGGCAGGTTCAGGTTGTGGCCAGGTGCATCCATGCTTTTGCAGGACATATAGAAAGAATCTGCTACGAAGAAGTAAGATGCTTACAGTTACGATTTGTAGTTTGTTGCTAGAGGTTGGGAATAATCATTGACAATTACGGCACATCGGCTTAATTAATCTATTATTTTGTATTTTGCTAGAAATCTCTCCAGCAACAAGTCTTAAATCTATCATGAAAAAGAAAGGTTATGGTCCCCATGCAGGAGGCAATGGGACCAAAAAGAATCTTCAGTTTGTTGGGGTAAATGGTGGGTAAGCATCCGTCCAGAACATAAAACTGCCTTTTCACGTGTGATGGCCTCTGTGTCGCTGAAGAAGTCTCTTCTTTTTCCCTCTTTCCCCTCCAAACCGCTTGATTAAAAGGCTGATTGAAATGGAGCCTCTTTTCTCCCCCTTTAATCCAGCCCTGATGAGCTGTAATAACCCTGTAGAAGAGGTTGGAGTTGTCAGTGCAGCGAGGGACACCCTGGGGACTGACAGCAGCTCGATGGCTGCTGCAGTTGGGTTCCTCAGGTGTTACTCGCTCTTGTGCAGAGCTTCTACCAACAGTCGCTGAAATGGGTACGACTTGTAGCGAGGAGAGGAATCTTGAGCGGTCTGAGAAAAGCCCGGGAATCCCTCAGTGTTGCGTCTTGTGGAAGAGGCTGTTGTTATTAACAGTTCTGGACAACCAGAGAGAGGTCTCTCTAGCAGGGCTGCTCGAGTGGTGGGCTCAGGGCCTTGCTGGAGCTGCAAAGGCAGTTTTTGTCTGCCGGTCCTCAAGGTTGCTGACATGCCGCCTGTCCCACCTTGCCACGGGTTCCGTGTTTCTCGTGGCTTCCCGTCAGCTCCCGGCAGGGAGGCCGCAGGCCTTGCCTGGCCACGCTGGGGTGTGTGCGATGGCTCTCCCTCCAAACCAGCGAGTAGTCCCTGAAGTAACCTTGCCTGCTGCTCATTAACTGCTTCTGTCACGCTCCTGCTGGCTTCAGAAGCCAAAAAAGGACTAACCCCAAGTTTGGCTGTGGCTCTAACCTTCTAGCTTACGTATCACTCTGGGCTTCATCCAAGGCCCACTGGAGTGGGGTCTTCTGTGAGTCTTGGTCAGGCCCTGCGGTTGTGGACAGGGAGAGGGTGAATAACATGTGGTGTCCTCAAATAGCTACGAAACAACTTCAAGCGAAGACACAAGTTGTGAAGACAGCCCATCGGACGGGGACGTGGAGAGCGAGACGGAGAGAAGAGCCGACGACTTGGAGCCCATGGAGGAGAAAGCTGGAGATGAAACTGAGGGGGCTTCATCGGGGACCTCCTCGCAGGAGAGATGTGAGGATGATGACCTGCAGGAGCCGTCGGCGGCAGCAGCACCTTGGCCTCAACAGAATGCTGACAGGTAACCAGAAAACAGACAGGGATGGTGCTTTCCGTCACGTTTCTGCAGCTGCAGGACGCGCGGCGCTGCGCTCGGTCGCTGCTACGGGGCTGGGGCTCATCTGCTCGGTGGAAAGGCAGCTGCTGACCTGTAGCCATGGGAAAAGGCTTTAAGGAGCTGAATATTTTTTGAGTTAGTACAGAATGTAACGGGGATTGATTCAGGCCTTGTGCTTGACTGTGGAAAAGATGGGTGAGTCACATTTGGTGAGAATTAGCTCATTTCTCCCCTCTCATGTAAAGTTTCTCACTCAAGTTATTTGCAGATTCAGGAATAGGATTTTTTTTTTTCCCCAGTTTATGGATTCTTGTAACAGATGAAGTTGACTGTACACAGCTGGGATTCTGGACTTAAACACTACTTAAGTGCTTAACTTTGTACCTGAAACCTGTGTCAAGACCTGTATGCACAGAGTTAAGCACTTGACTAAGTGTTGAACGTATTCCGACCCACACTGCGTGTTCTCCTTCCTGCTTCAGTACCTCCTGCAAGTTCTGTCTTGTGACGGATTTACAAACATATTTTCCCTTTAGATGCGAACCCTCTGAAGATTTCCTTGCCGACTGCCAGCTACTCAGCAAGCACCTCTCAGAAATCAGGACCACGAGCGACAAGCATTTGGTACAGATATTTTTCAGTCCCGTTTCTGACACGGTTTCTGCTCTCTGTTACATTTAATGGATAAGATTATCCTGACGGCATGTTGCAGGCTGTGCCTTACCATGCCATGGACAGCTTTGTGAGGAGAGGGGGATGAGGTGACCTCTGAGTCAGTTTAGAATAGCCAAAAAGAAAGGAAAAGGAGAAGGAGGGGGGGGGGGAAAAAAAAAGAGAAGGGAAGAGGAAGGCTTTCTGTGCTTACTCATTCAAGTTACCACAGGAAATTCCTTTCCCCATTAAGTTATAGCAGCAATCCCAAACCCACAAGCTAAATACCAGCTGGGGGATGCCAGAGCACAGGATGAAGTGGCACGGGGCGAGGAGCCGGGGCAGTGCCGGGTTTGCAGGATGACTACCACAGGAATAACTGTGAGCCCTTGGTGTTTTCAGCGGCATGTCCTGAGCACCGTCTGCCAGGAGTGGTTCCGGGTGTCGAGCCGCAAGTCTTCCAGCGCGGAGGTGGTTGCAGCATACCTCGAGGCACTGGAGGCCATCCAGCCCCAGCTCCTGGCAATGGTGGTCAACCTGGCCGACAGGAATGGCAACACGGCTCTTCACTACAGCGTTTCCCACTCCAACTTCCTGATTGCAAAGCTCCTGCTAGACACAGGTAGGAACAGCCACTCTGCTCAGCCATGGCTTTTGTTGGGTGTGGAAGTTGCTTTATGTCACTCTTGCCAATGGGGCACGGTCCCACAGGGGATGATCGTGGTGGGCAGAGTCAGGTAATGGGGTCCCAGCAACAGTCCCAGACATGGCAGAGAGTGAATGACGTCCGGGTTCCTGCCAGGGAGTTCAGTCAGGAGCAAAAGGGGATGGGACAGAGGTGGGGCTGGGGACCAGCTACAACGTGCATGCAAGGGAGCCATCCAGGAGACAAGGATGGGGCCAAGGTCCGTCCAGGAGACAGATGTGGGGCCAAGGTCCATCCAAGATACAAGTGTAGGGCCAAGGGTCATCCCAGATACAAGCACTGAGCCAAGATCCACCCAGGAGACATGGATGATGTGAAGATCAGCATCCTCCCCCACAGCTTGGCCCTGGGCCTGTGGGTGTGAGTGGGGGTCCCAGCTGAGGCTCCTCAGGGACATTAAGGCTCATTAGTGCCCTCAGAGCCCTGACACGAGGGGTTTGCCGTCTGACTTTGGGCATAGCCCGGGGTCCCTGTGGCCAAGGGGTGTCTCTCATGGCCCCAGCCCAGGTAGGATGGGGTTGGCTTTCCCAGCTTCGTGTAGCAGCAAGTGCCACGTCATGGCTGGAGAATCAGACTCCTGAGAGCGTAACAAACCCCCAGCGCCACAGAAAACTCCATTTTAAACTACTGAACTTTCAGCTCACTTGCAAAGAAAGAACAATCTCAGCTGAGCTTGTGGGGGAGGAGCGTGCGCGCTCAGGAAGAATAACGGCGCTTTGGCCTTTTCTCCTGGGCCAGACAATCTGTTAGACGTTAGGGAAATGGCAGATTATCATACGCATCTATAACCCCATCGTTGCCGCAGACGCGCAGGAAGCTGCCGTGGCTCGTCCCCTCCTGCTGCTGAGTGCCCGAGGCGGCCGGGTCCCCAGGCAAGGCTGGACCCGAGCCCTCGCCTGTTAGACTTGGCTCATTCCTCGTGGTGGAGTTGGGAATGGGCTCTTTGAGGTGAAAAGGGAGCGGAACAGGGCCAGGTCGGCTGTACAGTGCCCATTGGGTGACAGGCACCTTCCTGCTCCCTTGCTGCGGGAGTCGAAGCGAACAGCCTACAGCTCCACAACTGGCCTGTGCCCAAGGGATTAATTATCCACACACACCCCCACCCCCCTTTCTTTTTTTTGGTTATGGTCTTCAAACATTAATTGAGTTGTCCTCAGCAATTGTAATTAACTGTAACAATGGGTAGCACCAAGGGCCCTTGGATGCTGAGCTCATGAGACTAGGTACTTAAGGAAGATAGATCTCACTCCTGTGTGATTATGGAAACTCCTGTTTCTGGGAACGTAAAGTACCAGACATTTTATAACTTCCTCTTTGCTTCCCATTCCCTCCGGCCAATCCATCGCGGGGCTGAATCCTTCCCCCGTGTGGTGCATCGCCCGCCAGGCGTGTGCCGCCTGGACCTGCAGAACCGCGCCGGCTACACGGCCGTGAT